TATAGTCCCCTGACGGTGACCCATCACCTCGCTTGCTTGAGATCTTGCAGAAATGTCCTCATTTCCTGTTTTGCTGTATGGGCTCTGGTGGGATGTTGTTGGCTCTGTTGTTTGTTCACCAATTTGTACATTATGTTACCCTTTACTACTGTAAACAGTAAAGATAGTTTGGTATTCTGTCTTTTGGCTTTTATTAAACACTGCATTTGAAGGTTGGGGCACATGTCATAACTCAGCAAGGCCTCTGGGGCACCTGCTTTGGAAGCTAGCTGCTGGGCAGYGGAATGCCCCGACACCTGCTCCTCCCACTGGCACATCATCCATGTGGTCCACCTTCCTTTTACCCAGAGTTCATCCTCTGCCCTCACAGAGCCCACCTTTCCGACAGCCTCACCTTCCTTTCCTGGACTCCTATGTAAAGAGGAGGAGGATTTTGGAGGCAGGTGGGTCCAGATGTTAGCTTGGGATGTTTCGGTCTTTGCTTAAGATGTGCGGTTGATGATAACTTATCTCCCCCCTTTTTTAATATAAGTGTTTTCTTAGTTCTCAGTGGACTTTATTTTTTTATATGTGGTGCTGAGAGTTGAACCAGTGCCTCACACTTGCTGGGCAAGTGCTGTACCACTGAGCCACAATCCCAATACCACTTACCCATTTTGAAAATGAACTACTACCAATTTGCTTTGAAAAGTCTCAGTATAGGGGCTGGGATTGTGGCTCAGCGGTAGAGCACTTGCCTAGCAGATACAAGGCCCTGAGTTCGATCCTCAGCACCACATATAAGTAAATGAAATAAAGATATTGTGTCCAACTACAACTAAAAAATATTAAATTAAAATTTAAAAAGTCTCAGTATATGATGGTGAGACAAGACCAGAGTTGAGTGGCTGAGCTGATTTGGTCCATTGCCTGTGTGAGCACTAGGACAAAGATGGAAGGCAGCCGGGACAGTGGAGCTGCAGGTCCAGCGATCAGCAGAAGCACACAGATTGAAGCACAGTGCAGAGATGGGACCATTTGCCAAATCACCTTCATGGCACATGGCGGGAGGTGGTCTGGGGTGCCTTTGGTTTGATAAAGGAGGCCAAGAGGTCCCTTGTATGTAGAACAAAGTCACTTGAGCTTTTTTCACCTCAACAACCTTGAGGTTGTCCTTCATTTTTAGGAATTTATGTAAATTGTGAATTTGGAGTAATATCTTTTGGCATTAAGTAGCCTGGGGTTCGATGGAAGCCTTAGGGGATAGGGCCTACTGCAACCAGAGTTTGAGATGAAGCTTGACGCTCCACTTCTGCCTTGGGTAGTGGTGGTATCTGGGTAAGCCAGGGGCCTTAGCAGCCAAGAAAGCCCATTATAGTGTTAGCACCTAATCACTGCAGGGGACCGCGGACAGCTCCCTGGGCGGCTGGATTCTTCACTCTCCAGTGGTGTGGTGCAGCTCTTAATGTCGGGCTGTGCCCTCCAGCAGCTCATCGCCAATTTCTGTTGGGATTCTTGTCTCATAAATGACATTCACGGACAATAACCAAAGGCAAGAATGAAAGGAATAGGATTTATTCAAGCGACTATAGACAGCTCCTGCAGGGGCCAGAGGAGACCCAGCAGGGGTTGCGGTCTAAAGGTATTAGTGGGGCACTGCTCAATGTTTGCTAATGGGGTCTTAGGAAAATACCAATGCTATTGGTCAAAATGTACGCTGATAATCAGCCCCCGGAAAAGTACTTGGTTAGCCCTGGAGCCCGAACATTCTTGTAACTTCCATTTGGGTCTGCCTCCACTTCGGTTTTTCTGAGGTTCAGGGAAAAAGCTTGGCTGGAATGTTTCTATCGATTACTATCAATGAGTAGTTTCTACATTCTGAAAAAAAAAAAMAAAACTTCAATTGGGCCCCATTAACTATTCCATCTTAGGCCCCCGTGCAACTCCGTGCTGGCCGAAGGGCCTGGTCCCAGGAGCCCCCACCCCGCGCCCAGTAGCCAGGGCCTTTTCCGCTGCAGACCGCGGGCAGGGGCCCAGGAGCCAGGCGCTTGCTCCCCTTGCTGCTTAGGAAAGCCACTCCGGTACACACCGGCTGGGCCGGACCCTCGCTGGGGGAGCACATGACGCCCACGGGGCGCCCGGCCGGACCGCTAGGAGCTGCGCGGTGGCGGGGAGACGGGGCGAGCCTGCTCCCTTACGGCCCGCCGAGGGGGCGCCTTCCGTCCGGCCTCCCCGCCGCGGCTTGGGGGTCCGGCCCCTCGAGGGTGGCCGCTAGCGAAGCCGCGACTGCGGGACGCCGCGCTCGCAGCGGCAGGAAGACAGTAGGGTAACCCCCAGCACCGGGCAGAGGCTGCAGCACCGCGGCGCGCTGTGAGGCGGGCACGTGCTCTGCGCAGGCGCGGCGTGCGAGTGGGCGGGACGCCCGGTGCGCGCCCCTGCTCGCCGCCGTAGACGCTGCGCACGCCGCTCCGCGCCCCGGAAGCGCTCCTGGCGAGGTGGTGACCCGGAAGCGACCCCGGCGTCGGGGCGCGGGCGAGGTGAGGCGGCCAGCTCAGCTGCTGGGGACATGGCGGGTACGGCGCTCAAGAGGCTGATGGCCGAGTACAAGCGTAAGTTGGGGTCCCCGCCGCACCGGTGCCGGGCCTCCGGGTAGATATCGCCGTCGAAGCTTCGCGGCTGCCGGGGCGTTCGCCCCGCGGAGGGCGGGAGGGAGGACAGGGCCGGGGGAGCCGCTGAGGACCGGGGTCCAGGGCCGGGCCCAGGGACCCGGGAAGCCACGGAGGGCGGGAGGGAGCACGGGGCCGGGGAGCCGCGGAGGACCGGGGACCGGGGCCCCCGCGGCGGATGGACTGCCCTCGTGCCCCAGCTCCTGGCGGCCCGCCCGAGTTGCGCCGGAGTTTCGGGGTGCCTCTAGGTGGAGCGTGCGGCCGCGGGATTGGCCGGTGCAGACCGGAGCCGGTCTGGCTGGGGCTGCCGCCGACCCTGGGCGCGGGATCGGGTGGTCCGCCTGCCGCTGCGTGCAGCTCTCAGCCCCGAGAGCTTAAAGCTGGTCCTGCAGCGCGAGTTCTTTGGGAGCTTGACACCTGGCCCTCCAAAGGTTAGCTTGTTACTGTTGTTGCCTTGAGGCAGGTTGGGAGAGCATTGAAAATAAGCTGATATAATGAATCTGATTGCAGCCTGGTGACCCTGCGCCTGGAGTTCATGTTTACCTGAGCAAGCTTACGTGTTGCAAACACAAGCTCGTTAACATACAGGGTCCTCTAAAGAAGGATCTTGTGTTTGCCCATTTAAGAGAGACTTTTAGAGGGCAGTAGGGACAGAAGGTTCACTCTGAGTASGGTTGGCTGTGGGGGCTGTCAGGAAAGTGGTCACGTGTGAACAGCATTTCTTGGCATCTGGGTTTGTTTCTGTCTCTTACATTTTTTAACTCTGTGTCTGGACTGTGAGCAGATATTATTTTCTCATTTTTATAGAGAAGAAAACCATTAAGCCCCTTTATAGGGAATCAAGAAGCTGCTGCTGCATCTGTCCAGTCTTTGCATTGTTGAACTTGTATTTCCTAAGGATATGTGCATTAAGAAAGATTTATTTTCCCCCTTTACTGCCCTTAATAAAAGCCTCATCCATTATTTCAGTCATACCAATTAAATTGCAGTAAGAAAACTTGATTCCTAAAACTGTCACAGAAGTGTATTATTATTATTATTTTGGTGTGTTAATAAATGAAATTTTGGATTACATTTGGAAGGCAGCACTCTAAAAATGTCTCCTTTGAACCTCAGTGCCCTGATTATTTTAAGCACTGTCTAGGGCTACTGAAGTGGGACTTGGGAGAATGTAGTTGAGGTTACTAATGAGCACCCAAAGAGAGGAAGATTATCCTGGCTTGTTTTCATGGGCTCAAAAGTGAGAAGGTCAGAGGAGGAATAGAGAAGGACTGTGTCTGCTGAATGGCTGTGAATGGAAGGAAGGGGCCCCATGGGCTGATGGGGGGCAGGGGGAGAAGTTGAGAGCGACCCTGCCGCAGCCCATCTGGGGCCTGGAACCTCAGTGCTGCAGCCATGTGGGACTGAGTTAAGTCAATAGTCTAAACCTGGACCATGGCCCTACCAGCACCTTGATTTTGGCCCTGTGATCCAGTAAGCAGAGAACCAGTTGGCCCATGCTGTGCCCAGACTTCTGTTGCTTGGRAACTGTGAGGTCATCAATGGTATTGTTCCAAGGCACTTAGAAGTTTATGTTGAGTTGCATAGCAGTGATGGGAAATGAATACAGCAGTACAGAAAATCAGTGCAGTATTTAGGGTATTTTTTTCCTGCCTCCTAGTAATGTGATAGAATTCCTTTCTGTGTTTCTTGTCTTAGCATCTTGTCCTCTATGTCTTTAAGGTAGCATGTTCCAATGTACAGGGAGACTTAACAGAAACCCTCTGTGTGGAATGGAGTGTAGGGAGATTGGGATAGGTGTGCAGGCATACTTGGTTGTATTTGGACTAGTCAGAGTCTGTGGGCGTTTAGAGGGGTAGGACTCTGGATGTGGTCTGTTCAGGCCCCCTAATTTTACAGGAAATCTAATAAGAGGCAAAATAATTTGCCTCATTCATACAAAAAAAAAAAAAAAAAAAGAACCTGGAGAAGAACCCATTTTTTTTCCCCCATCAGGAATTGAAATCAGGGCACTCAATCACTGAGCCACATCCCCAGCCCTATTTGTATTTTATTTAGAGACAGGCTCTCACTGAGTTGCTTAGCGCCTCACTTTTGCTGAGGCTGTCATTGAACTCATGATCCTCCTTTCTAAGCCTGCCAAGCTGCTGAACCCAAATGTTTTAAACAGCTGTTTTGATGTTGTAACTTCACACTTCAGCCTTTCCTGGGACTGTGGGAGAGAAACTGAGGGAGGAGTGTCTTAGGGGTGCTATAACAAAGTACTGCCAACTGGGCGGCTTAACGGAATTCACTCTCTCTGGAGGTACAAGTCCAAAATCCAGGTGAGGGCAGGATCATACATGGGAACAAAAAATTTGCAAATATCTGCCTGCCAGGAAATYCTGTTTAGATAGGAGATGGCATATCCGTGTTCAGGGCGTACTCGGGACTTCAGTCCATGCTCAGGGAAATGTAAATAAGTCATTACACTTCTGACTCGATTTCAGTAAGGACTCCTGAAAACATGCTGAATTTCATTTGATGTCTAGGGTATGGTTGTAAAGTTGTCAGCCTTCTAATCTGACCTGAAGCTGCATGAAGGGTTGGTTGCTCTATTTTGATATCTTTGATATAAACCTGAGTTGCTGCAATAACCTTTTCCTGACAAACTAATCAAAGTGGAATTTAAACATTTTATTGGGCATATTTGTTTTATGGAAATTTTGAGTTTCAAAAGAAAATATTGTGCTTCCTGTTTTTTCTGTTTGGGGGATAAGTGAGGTAACAAAACTGTATTGACTATTTTTCTATCCCTTGTCTAAAAAAAGTAACCAAAATTATAGCCAGGTGAAAATATTGTGGTTCCCAGCAAACTGCAGTCACAGACTCCAGGTGTGGTACCCCAGAGTATTTTCAGGGAGTCAGAATAGAGTTTCTAGTACCAGTTTCAAAATGCTAATTAATTTGTCCAGAGAACGGACTCCTCTTCTTGCGATGCCTTTTCATGGTGAGGTGGTTTCCACAGGTCGCTATCCTCCTGGGGYGCTGGCACTGTGCTAGATGAAGACCAGTCCTGACCACAGGTGACTGAGGGCAGCTTGTGGTTGTTGAAGCTGGCTGGAGGGTTCTGTCCGACACRTCCAGGTCTCCATCCCCTTGGAGGCTCTACAGTTCCCCCTCATGGCTCAGCCTCAGGGAGCGGTAGTTTCTGGCTCCAGCCTGGCGCTGAACCTCATACAGGGGAGCCACTTGACTAGGGCCACTGCCTAAGAGTCCAGAAGCATCAGTAGGGCCCTCTTTCAGGGAGCCATTCTCCAGGGAGTGGCCACGGCTGGGCTCTTAACTTGGGGTCTTCCTCATCTGTACCTACTCTGTCTGCTGTGCCTCAACAGGTGAAAGAGAGCCCTATTTTCAGCCATTTTTKTKTGTGTGTGTGTGTATGTGTGTSGTGCTGGGGATAGAACCCAGGGCCTTGTGCATGTGAGGCAAGCACTCTACCAACTGAGCTACATCCCCAGCCCCAGTYTTCAGATTTTATAGACATCGTTGAGCATTTTGAACACCCTTGGTATGTGTGTTCATGGTGTACATTTGGAGGAAATGAGGCCATGGAGTTGTTCTAGATGGGCAGACCACTTGGTGTGTCCCTCACGGCCTGTGTCCCTCCAGTGGCAGTTGAGTCAGTCCTTGGTGTGCAGTACCTGGTTCTCACTAGTTTGGGAGTGTGTGGCATCTGTGTACTGTGGTCATGAATGAGGTTGAGCATCTTTTCTCATATGTAGGATTTTTTTTCTCTACATACAAGACAGAAAAAAACAAGTTTGTGGTCTTTTTTTCTCTGAAGTGTTTATGTCTTTGCTAATTTTGCGCAGGGCAGTTTTTCTCTCTTGGGGATTGCTAGGGGTCCTTTCTCTGCCCCAGTCCTATGTGGTCACCTGTGCTGCAGTTACTCTGGGGCTTTGTCTTTTCTGCCCTGTGGTATCTCTTTTTCCGGCACCTTTACAGCCTGTGGGGGTATCATCGCTGTGCAGCGAGGCGACCAAGCCTTTATGTGGTCGAGGCCATGAGCACAGCCATTGTCCTCATCTTCCCCTGCCCTGGTCTGCTGTCTCTGCCCTCCTCTGCCCACTTCCCAGGCCTACTGACCTGCTTTCCTTCCCTTCCTGAACATTGTTTTGGGCTCCTTCTGTCTGACTTCTTTCAACTCCATGCAGTATCCCCTGCTGTCTTGGGAAYCATGACAACAATACATGGAATAATTAGTATACTGTTACCAAAGTGAGGTGAGCATGATCTCTCTACTCCAGGGCGCATGTGGTGTGTCCAGCTTGTGCCTGGAATGGTTCACATCACATTCTGGTGGCTCAAGCAGGATGGCATGAAGTTTCATTATAGTCTCTGAATTTTAAATTTATAAATCGTTTATTTCTGGAATTTTTCATTCATATTTTCAAACCTTGCTGGGCCAGAAGTGATTGGTACTGCAGAAAGTAARGCCAGATATAGATAACAGGGAGCCACTGTAGTCGTCAGTTCCTTTTTTTTTTTTTTTTAATATTTTTAGTTGTATATGGACACAAAACCTTTATTTTGTATTTTTAACTTTTTTATGTGGTGCTGGGGATCGAACCCAGTGAGTGCCTCATGCATGCTAAGCAGGTGCTCTACCACTGAGCCACAACCCCAGCCCCAGTTGTTCCTTTTTATTGCATGGTAGTAAGTCCTTGTGTGATAGACTGTATTTGTATGTTGATGGGCATTTGGGTTGTTTCTAGTTCTTGGTTGTCACAAACAGACCTGTGTGTGTTGGCTCCATGTCTTAGTTTTAAAGGCAATCTCCCAAGCAGTCGTAACGTTTCCTTCTCACTGCAGTGTGTCAAGAGTTCAGTTGCTGTACCTCCTTGCTGATGCTTGGTATGGTTGGCTTTTTGTGTGTGTGTGTGTGGGGGGGGGGTACAGGT